GGCCACCCAATAGCCGGAACGGCGGGCGCGGCGCAGCTGCGGGGGCGCAGCGGCGGCGCAGCCCGGACAGCAGGGGAGCGGTGGGGCGCAGCGGCAGGGCAGGCCAGACAACGGCTGGAGCGGCGGGGCGCAGCGGCAGCGCAGGTCGTACAACGGCGGGAACGGCGGGTGGCGGCGGTGAGGCAGCGTTGAACGAGCAGGGACAAAGGCAGCATCGAGCGAGCGGCGAGAAGGGCAGTACCGAGCGAGCAGCGGCGAGGGCACTGGCGAACGAGCGCCGGAGAGGGCAGCGGCGGGCGAGCGGCAGCAAAAGCAGTAGCGAGCGAGCGGCGAAAGGGCAGACAGCGAGCGGCGAGGAACACACGAGCTGGGAGGGATGGAGTTACGCGAGGTGCTCCGAAGGAGTGGTGGCGGATCGCCGCCTGGCCAATGGAATGGCCGAGAAAAAATATAAGGGAAAAACGCGGATGACCAATGTGGGAATTGTCCCAGAAAAAATTAAAGGGAATAGTTTAAACAGTTTATTAATGTCTAGAAGAGCCTACGACCGGCTCTTCAAACCCAACTGAACCTCCAGGTAATCGGAGCGCTGTTCTTGAAGGATCCTGCGTAGACACGTCTGTTCAAATCTGCCTCTGAGCAGACCCACGCGCTAGTCGCATGGGACTGTTCGTTATATACTAATTTACTGGATCCCTAAACAAGGCAAGTTCTTTCCCCACCGCGTGACCCATTCACGTGGTGAGGTATATCGCCATATGAGAGACATTATGATAGAAACTTTCACAGGGTTCACGAGAAAAAATGGCACATACATTTTTTTCGCTGTAGACCTCCGTGTTTTTCGGGGTTCACATCGCTGGTAATGTCACTGCTTTGGCAATTCTCCCTTTTTATTTATGTTCGATACACCGAACATATGAACAGTAGGGATATGTCAGTTTCATGATCCGCAAGTGCGTCTACACGTATGCGTTTCCACGTATACACGTGTACTCAAACGACTGCGGCTACATAGAAACAGTTTTGATCTGCGCAAGTCGCATCCATCGGGCTGGCTCATTTTTTTTTTGATAGTCGCGTGCCGAGGGCAGTTTACCAAGGGTACTCATACTGTATATAAGTTCGGCGAAGAGGCGGAGGAGAAAGATGGCGAGCGCTAGCAGTATTCAAGTGCGTCGGGCAGCGTCAAACTTGAGCATGCTGACTCCTTTGCCCTCCTGAGCAATTCCCACCTGGACGGGCAAGTTTACACGTGGTCAAATAAAATTGACACTGGACACCAGATTGTGGGCTCTCCCTAACCGATAGAGGAATAAAGGGGGGTTGCTGGTGTTGTCGGACAGTGACAAAAAAATCGGACATGCAAAATATTTTGAAAAATATCTCCGACACGGGCCAAGGAGCACCGCCGCGCGTAACGGCTCCAGATAGTGCGCCGTATATCAGAACGACGTGGTTGAAATTAAAGAAAAAATATCTCAATCGATTGCTTACGGCTTTCTACGTATAAGTGTGCAACAACCCAAAAATACAAAATAGGCGGACTTTTCTATTTTTTATTTATTTGCTTGGATGTCCGATCTTAGTGCTCGGTTGAGGTGCAAAAGTGTCCGCGCGCTTCAATCTCACTCCTCTTCTGTGTCCGTGGTTGTTTTCGCCAAGTCCCAGTGGACGACAGGCTGAGAGTGTCCCCGTCGCAAAACAAAAAAAATGGTGATTGCTTGACAATTACAAGTACGTTTTCCTTTTAATATTGAGGTTTTTGTCCGACGTCTCCAGCACCCCCCCTTTACAGTGACCACCGGATAATGTTGTAAAGTTTTATTTCAGTTGCTCGGCGGAACACGGCGAAAGGACACTTGTCATGTGGGTAGTAAATTATGCGTGCGCCATGTGCAGATCTGAACTGCGTTGCATCATCGAATGTCGACATCGAGATCTGAAGTGCCCTTCAGGAGGTGGACGCCATTCCTCTCTCGAACGCTCCTGCAGTACCCTTCGAAGGGTACCCTGTATGGGCAGATTCGTGCTGCAACACTGATTGGGCGGCTCCAGAACTCTTCGGAGAATTCCGGTGCCATAACAATGAGTGCGGGCTTTCTGTGGGTTTTTTCATGGAAATTGTTCTCCAGTGTGACGAGGTAGCACGGCGGCACAGGGGCTGCAACCCACAGAATTGTACGGTACCCTGTACATCATTCGTAAAATTTAGATACATCGTGCATTGCAATGAATCTTGCGAAGTGGCATCGAAAATAAGGGCAAAACAATTCGCCACACATCCATCTCCGCCCTCGAGTCTAAACTTGCGTCAGGCCTCAGTGGTTTTCGATATACGCAGGCGTAAATAACGGTCCCTGCTTATATGCCCGCCGTTGTGGTTCCGTGTGCTGCATCTGCATCTGCCCGCATCATATCGCTCCCGAAATCATCTTCCGCGCCGGAGCAATTGGTAGCCCCATGTACAGTAGTCTCTCCTTATTTGTACACAGCCAGTATTTGCAACCACCTCTTTTTTGCAACCAAAAGCGGTCCACCAAGTTGGGAGAAGCCACATTTTAATCAAAAAACCATGTTGTTCTATTTTCTATTAATGCAACCGGTTTAATGGCCTCTTACATGTATTTTGCCTGCACTGAGAGCAATAAACCGTCCGAAATCTCTGGTAGTGAACCGTTGAACAGTAGAAATGCTGCAAACCCTGCTGTCAACTGTTCAACGGTTCCGTTGCAGGTTTTGAAAAAAACGAAAATTACCTCCTTTCCCGACAAAATGGTGCCTCTTCCTGGCACGAAAAAGCAACTTAGAGTGCTTGCAATTGCGAAGCTCATCGCCGAGTCCACTTGTGATGATATCGTTTTGCGTGCTGTGCGCAATGCACAGAGAACAGTAACGCTGCAGGAATCCGAAGCTCTACACCAGAGCACCATTGATGAGTTTTTGAAATAAATATGAGACATTCCAAACGATTGGTCAGGAACGCATGGTATGATACATTTCTTTGTCTGCAACCCCCCTTTTGTTGCAACCAGATCTGTCCACCAAGCGGTTGCAAATAAAGAGAGACTACTGTACTGTCATGCACCTCTCCCACTGGACCAAGGTCTGTCCCCCATTTTTTATTCCACACCCGCTCTCTTCAGACCCTGTTCACGACAAGGGGCATCGCATCCCCGCCTTACCGGTCACTGTGCAGTCAACGCTAATTTGTCAGACGTTCACTAGTTGCGCTACGTCTTGGCGGTCACTGTGCAGTCAACGCTAATTTGTCAGACGTTCACTAGTTGCGCTACGTCTTGGCGATGCGAAGGCTTGTAGGCTGAGTCTTGAGACTTGTACCCAGCGAAAAACAGTGTCCGAAATAGCGCGCCATTCCTCTCTGCACTGAGATCCAGGGCGACATGGATGACGCCTCTCCGAATGCGATGGAGTCGCCTCTGGCTGAGCCAGCGTCCTTCCAGTCACGTCTTAGCGGCACCCTTCGCAATCTTACAACCTATGATGGTTGGGTCGGAGATTATGACTACAAATCATTGTGCATGCCTCGAATACCATTCTTCCGCAGCACTCGGAAGTCTCGCTCCGTTTACTTTGGAATCAAAGAGCATCTCCCTGTTCTCGTCGCAGCCCTTATGGGTTTCCAACACGCACTCGCCATGATTGGTGGAGTGATTGCCGTTCCGAGGATTCTGAGTGGCGGGGGCAATTCCAACCTTCAGCTTGATTCAGTTGATGCGGCGTACCTCATTTCTACTGCTTTGGTTGTATCTGGTTTGGCGTCATGGATTCAAATTGTAAGGATCAAGCTCGTCAAAGGCTATTACATTGGAACCGGACTCATCTCTATGTCCGGCGTGTCTTTCACGTTCCTGCCAATCGCGCAGACCATGTTCTCTTCATTGCGAGCAGACGGCACTTGCCCGGAATCAGGGCCATGTCGGGATGCATACGGAATGTGGCTCGGCACTATCATGGTCGGTGCTCTGCTTGAGATTGGCTTGTCTTTCATCCCTCTTACCTTGCTTCGGAAGGCATTTCCTCCGCTCGTCACCGGAGTGACGGTTTTTCTTATCGGTGCTTCCCTAATTCCGGTCGGTTTGCGACAGTGGGCCGGCGGGACGGGACCTTGTTTCACTGTCCAGCAGATTCAGGACCTCGGTGGCGAAGTTCCCCAGCTTTTGCTGGACACATTTAATGATTGCCCCAACAACTTCGGACCTGGAGACCGCCACTATCCATGGGGCTCGGCAGAGTGGATTGGGCTTGGCTTTTTTGTCTTTACCATCATTATTGTTCTTGAAATCTTTGGTTCTCCCTTTATGCGGAATAGTCAGGTTATGATCGGTCTCATCGCTGGGATTATCTTGGCTGCATCACTCGGGTATATGAACAAGGACATCATTGATGCGGCCCCAAACCTAACTTTTCCACTAGTACGACGGTTCAGGCTTGGGTTCTATGGACCAGCAATCATTCCAGTCCTTCTTGGATATCTAGTGTCTACAGTCGAGACTTTAGGCGACATTGCGGCATCGTCGGAGGCGTCGCGGGTTGCGACACAGGGCCCGGAATTCGAATCTCGAATTCAAGGAGGCCTCCTTGCTGACGGTCTCAACTCTCTTTTGGCTGGACTGCTGACATCATCTCCCACAACGACGTTTTCTCAGAACAATGGCGTCATTGTAATGACGCGCACAGCCAATACCACCGCTGGCCTCTGGGCGGCTGGATGGTTGATCTTAGCTGGGATTATTGGCAAGGTCGGCGGCGTTTTTGTAGCGTTGCCTGATGCTGCATTAGGTGGCATGACAACCTTTCTCTTTGCAAATGTTGCGGTGTCTGGTGTGCGAATCTTATCGCAGCTGCAATGGGACCGTCGAGAGCGATTCATTCTCGCAATCTCACTTAGCCTCGGGCTTGGCGTTGTAGTTGTACCGGGGGCATTCATACATTTCATTCCGGACACAGAAAACTCGTTTGCAAATGCATTGCGCGAAGGCGTTCTTATAATCTTGACAACGGGGTACTCGATTGCTGCTTTGTTGGCTATGTTGCTGAACTTCATCATCCCGAAAGAGGACGAGGCAGTTTCAGCGAGCGAGTATTCAAATGCCGCCAAAGTTAAGGATCTTTCGCTGGAGGAGGTCATTGCGGATCCCACGGAAGCGAGAAAGTCTACATAAAGGGGCGATAGACAAGCAAAAAGCTTCACTGAATAGCAAGCACACGAGGAGTTGAGGCGTCATATCCAACATACGTTGATGGGGGAGAGGGAGGAATTGATTTTATTCAGCGCAGCGTTTCTGAACAATAATCGTTCGGGGAATGCGAATCGATCCACTGCATACTATTTCATGATCAGTAAACAGACTCCAAGCCATGCAAGTCGCACCCCTTTGGCATCTGCGTGGGCAGAGAAATAGCTCATAGGGTTTCCCAGTAGCAATGGCTGGCCCCTTGAGGACTATGCCTGGTTGCATGCGCGAGACTGGGATGGTGCGGATCTGGCTGCTGATGTCTGCTGCCAGATCCGCACCATCCCAGTCGGGATCAGGAGAATAGGTCCTGAGCGGTCATCTGTTCCGAGACGTTTTGGCCCTGGCCCCGTCTCATTTTTGCCCCTGGTGTTGGGTCCATGACTGTTGTCGGTGAAATGGGGGAGGCGGTTTGGGGAGCCTGCCGTTCCGTGGTGAGGGTCGGCCGAGTGTCCTCTCCACCCCTTTTTCCCCGGGTCTTAGCTCTGTTGTAAATAAAGATGTAAGGTATATGATAAGGTACACATTAAGTTAAACAAACGGCATACACCGATGCTGTAAGTAAAGAGACGTTAAATTAAAACAAAGGACAGATTACAGTTACAACGCTGCTTACAGTAAATGTTTACTCGGTAAAATTCCTGAGTAAACATTTACTCGCAAGCAGATTAACATTTACTCGGTGTCGAGTTGAAGGTTGCGAGTAAATGTTTACTCAGGAATTTTACCTAGTAAACATTTACTCGCAATCAGATTAACATTTACTCGGTGTCGAGTTGATGGTTGCGAGTAAATGTTTACTCGGTGATATTTCCGGGTAAGCATTTACTCGCAAGCAGATTAACATTTACTCGGTGTCGAGTTGATGGTTGCGAGTAAATGTTTACTCGGTGACATTTCCGGGTAAACATTTACTCGCAAGCAGATTAACACTTACTCGGTGTCGAGTTGATGGTTGCGAGTAAATGTTTACTAGGTAAAATTCCTGAGTAAACATTTATTCGCAAGCAGATTAACATTTACTCGGTGTCGAGTTGATGGTTGCGAGTAAATGTTTACTCCTTAACATTCCCGGGTAAACATTTACCCGCAACCAGGTTAACCTTTACTGTATGGTCTTTAATGGCTTACGAGACATGTCATACAGTCATTATAAACTGAGTGACATGTGATTGTTTATGAGACGATATGATATCGAGTATAGGTTTACTGTTCCTCGCGTTGCTTGACAGTTAACGTTTACTTACGGATAAAAGCCCGCGAAACCGGAACAATCCTCTCGTATTGCTGCGAACAGTTCGATTTTTAGGTTCCATATAAAAAGGGACCCGAAGGTTGTTTACATCGAGCGCCCACCATCATTCTCACGGACGTCACTCTTTTGTTTTCTTGCGCGTTGGTTTTTTCGAAATCGTCACTCTTTTTTTTCTTGCGCTTTGGTTTCTTTCAAACTTGGCCGCTTGTTGTTGTCAAGAACGGGTGTGGAATGTGTCGCTCTGTGTTTCGTTTTCTAGACAGACAAATCGGGGATCTGACATTTCAACTGATTTTTTAGCCTCCGAGTTGTGTCTGACCGACATGTGCAGACAAAAAAGATAGCGCGATTTGCGTCCGTCGAGGCCGAGAGGACAGAGTCGACCCCTCACGGGGTCGATCGCCAGGTGAGAAATCTGACCTTGGCGGGGCTATAGCCACAGCGGGTGAGCCCGCTGGGCCCTTCGATACGCGTCAAGAAAGGGAGCCCTCGGCAGAAAAAGAAAGCCTCGAGGCGTGGAGCCAACTCAAAGTGGCCCCACTTCCATAACCCCTTTTTCGCTACACGTCCAGTCTCAGTTCTAAAGCCCGCAAGTTGCTACAGGGCGCAGTATGAGTCTGTCGAGGCTGTGGGGCTATCCCGCTGTCAAGCACCAGACGAAGGATGACAAGCCCTCTCCGAGTTTCGCTTCCCCAGTGAAACGAAACGCCGGCGCCCTTGCATGTAAAGGCCTCTATGCTGTCGTTTCTATTAAGTGGAAGTAAGCAATGATATCTTAAACGAAAAAATAGCGTGAACTTTATTTGGAATGCAAGATCATATATCCACTTTCCTACGCTTTTGAATGCATGGACTATGCGCTGCGACGCGTTTGGGGAAAGCAGTTCCAAAGATTTCGAACCTACGCTCATGAATGCGGAATCCTATTTCTAGCATGCCGCATAGTAGTAAAATCGTTCTGCTCGCTGTGCGAAAACCATGTGCAAATCGAGCTGTCGGTATGGCATGCTCACATTGAGGTTAGCGCCCCGAACAATTGGCTGCCAAACACACAAGTTGATACTGTCCTTGCATCACGTGCAGGGCCTTTCCCGGGGCGCAGCAGGATCTGAAATGTTCACGGGGTGCAAATCTCATAATGAGTTTCGAGTACCAAAAAAAGGGGCTCGAAACTCATTTTGAGTTTCGAGTACCTTAAAAAGGGGCTTGAAACTCATGAGTTTCGAGTACCAAAAAAAGGAACTCGAAACTCATAATGAGTTTCGAACCCCCAAAAAAAGGGACTCGAAACTCAAAATGAGAATGGCCTCGAATCATGCGCAGGAGCGCTTCAGGGGCGGGGCAAGTACTGTACTGTTCACATGCACAGTATTCTCATTTTGAGTTTCGAGTACCAAAAAAGGGGTTTGAAACTCATTTTGAGTTTCGAGTACCAAAAAAAGGGACTCGAAACTCAAAATGAGTTTCGAACCCGCAGAAAAAGGGATTCGAAATTGAAGTTGAGGTTTAGACCTACAGTAATTGGTACAGTATGAGTATCTGTACCAGCATCTCTTTGTCCGTTTTTTATTTTAGTCTCACTTGTAGTTTTTTTGAACTCTTTCTACTTCGTCAAACCTATGAGAAGCTTATCTGCCGTGCTGTAGTCAGTTGCGCCCTTTCAAAAAGAGTTGAAATTTTCTTTGCCAATGACGGGTGATGGATTTCTCGACAAACGTCGAACCATGCAATAGACGTTGAGAGTGATTCATCATTCTGGCAGTGATGTACGGGTACCCGGACTGTACAGCGTACGATAAAAAGAGTTCTATCCGTTCCGGTTCTATCCAAAGTGATCAGCATAATGACCGGGCCACCCACAAGGGCAACCCACTAAAATGGGGGTCCGCTAAAACGGGACTAAAATCATGATGTACTGTATCTATAAAAAATACGTAACAAGGATATTAAATGTCATGGATGCAGCACTTCGCGAGAAAAGCGGCCCTGGGCTTCGTATGAGACACCGGTTACGCACCCACGTACCTACTGTACCTCGCTTACTCGTGCTGGATCTTCCAGCCTTCAACTTCTTTTGCATTTCTGACTGAATGGATAGAGAATCAAAAGCCTGCAGGTTTCTAGGAGTACAAAAACGTCGCTTCGCTTTATAGGAGGTCTCACGCGTCTAGAGATGAACGCCGTTGATAGGCATGTAGAAAAATCGGGACCCAAGAAAACCCCAGAAAAATCAGATAGAAAAGGGTTCAGGGGATAAGGTCTGCTTGTCTTGCAGTCCACAGCTGTGTGGCTCTTTAGAAAGAATGCAAGTCGTACATATCGACATTTTTACTTACTTGACATGAAAATTATGAACCTTGTTGTCTAAGTTCCCCGATACAGCGATATATCCTTTGAGTGCGAAGGCGTTTTTGAGCCATTTTCATTGACGGAATATGCTGTTCAGAGTATGAGCTCATTACCAACCTGCGGAAACCAACGGCGGTCTATCGTACCAGCTGAAGATACGGAGAACATTGTGAGAGAGAGAGTGATGTGGCCTCGTGTATGTGAATTCGGTCATGAATCTACCGATGATTTCCTTCGTGGTATTGGGTTTTCATGTCATCCCGAAGACTTAAAGGAAAATGACGCATTTGAAGAACTATGTTCTAGGTCGATCCACTATTTGCGTGATGTCGTAGCCACCACAATTTCGGAAACACTGGACAGCAAGACGTACAAGAAAAGCTATATGCCTGCCGCACGTTCGCAACATAAGCGTAGAATAACTGCCCGCATCGTGAACCTTGCATGGTCAATATCGGTGGTTAGTGACGAACCTTATTCTAACTGCAGCGATGATGGGGTTAAGTACGCATGCCAGCACCTCGTCGCCGAACTTTCCCTGTTCAAAGCAGTGGCTGGGAGCCTGCCTCTGTGGTTGCGCTTGTCGTCTCCTTTTACTTTTCTCTTCATTCGTCTCTGTGCGATAGACTGCCACGTTATTTGGCAGAATGTTATCAATCATGAGGGGTTTGGTATTCAAAATACTCCCGACATGGTTGATTCGTTTCGTGAAGACAAGTTCAACATCCGCAATGTGGTTGAAAAGGTCAAGAATCGAGTTCAAACACAACTTCTGTCCATTCGTCTCGGATTCGTTCACAACGGCGACATTTCCATCGATTTATATGATCCCGCCGCTGTTGACGCTGGCCAGCTTGCAGATAGTGAGGTTTATATTGATGACATAAGCGAAGAATTAGACCGTGTCGCTGGACTTGTTGTCGCGCTGAATGAGGCTGTGCCGCTCATTTGTGTTGTAGATCAACAATTTTCTGAAACGCTTAGTGCCCTTTGGAGATCAGAAGGGGGTAGTTCCACCAATTGGAAATGGAGAAAGCCAGAGAAGAAAGACCTTGGACCTGCTGTTTTTTATGAAAACGGAAATCCCATGGACGTTTTTCGTCACATGATGCTGAGTATTGAATCCAGTAAGACAAAAATGAAAGAAGCCAAAGCAGATGCTGAGACAGAGCTATCTGCTCTAGCCGTCATTAGTCACATGTGCGCAGAAATCGCAAATATGAAACACAAAACATTGAGTGTGTATGGCCACATGCCAGATGAAGAAGACACCGAACTTGATATCCGAAATGTTCCTCTACAGAACATGGTCCATGGCGTCTGGAAGTCAGCGGTGCGTGCGAATGTGCGAGTCCATGAAGCCCTTTCATCAAAGTTTGGCGTGGGAACAAAAGATTTACGCACTGCACTCGGTGTTCTGAATGAGACATATTGGACTGGTTTGGCAGTGAAAAAGCGAGATAGTCCTCGGTACAGCATACAAAAAGATGTTGTTTCAACTTTTTTTTCATGAGTTTGATCTGCACAGACCAATTCTCTTCCGTTCGTGATGCTGCCACCGAGTATGCTGCGCAAATGGCATGAATTGAAGTTACTCACTAATGAAAGTAGTGTGTGACCAATGAAGTAAAAATCGGTTGTTCTTCAATTTGTTCACTGATAATGTAGAAGTCATATGACGGGAGGTTCCCTGGAAGTGATCG